GCTCCGCCTCGCGCGGCGTTTCTCGTACCTGGGTTGGAATTTCGGGTTTCGGGGTTTAGGGTTCAGGGTTGGGGGGTTTAGGGTTTAGGGTTGGGGGGTTTAGGGTTTAGGGTTGGGGGGTTTAGGGTTGGGCGGTTTAGGGTTGAGGGTTTAGGGGTTTAGGGTTTAGGGGTGGGGGGTTTAGAGTTTAGGGTCGCGGGCCCCCCAAAAAATTAATTATGAATAGGTACCTCTATAGGAGCCATAAGTAAAATTATAACAAGTTTCCCGCAGTGCCACCCAGGTACTTTATGCGCAAGCGGCCTGCCCGTGCCCGCTCACGTGTACAGAGGTGGCAAAACTGGCATGACGCGCCCAGTTTGCAGCCCCCTTCCCTGAAGTGGAAGAAAGCACATGGCTTGCACGTTTCGTTCACATGCGCCAAGAGCGAAGCGTTTGAGACCTGCATCGGGCTTGCAGGTTTCGACCCCGACGAGACCGAACTGCCATCACTTTCCAGCGGAAGGCCCGGCACACCGTCAAAGCGAAAGTCGGACGATGCTGAGCCAGATTGGCTTCCGTCTGATGCACGCACGCCATGATTCACAGCACTGCCGTTGTCGGAGTTCCCAACGCCTGAGTGACCTGAAGATATGCCGATGACCGTCTCGGACCCTGTCGGCCCTGTACCGGTCTGGTCTGTCACTTCATCGACGGTGCCCTCCGAGCTCAGAGGTGCTTTGCTTTCTTTGGACTCGTTCAGCGTCGCTTGAGCGGAGCTGTCCACAGATGCATTCGAGCTTACCTCCGAACGCCGAGGTCGGCCGGAAGCAGAGTTCGAAGAGGAATCGCTGCTATCCTTAAATGCCCAGCCCAGTAACCTAGGATTAACAAAAGCTCCCGTTTTTGGTATTGGGTACCTTTATAAGGAACCTAAGACTCAAAAAAAAAGGAAAAAGGGCCAACTGGGAGACCCAGTTTCTGTGGCGCTCAAGAACTCCCGGGAAAAGGGCCTTTCGCCCGACTGCCGATCTGGCGGAAGTTCTTCTTCGAGCTCGCTACAGGCTTGGACTGAAACTGCCTGGACTGCGTCCTTCGACTTCACAAACACCACATGCATTGGGACCGCAGCAAGTATAAACAAAGAAGCCTTCCTAAACTTCGCCTAAAGGCTTTAGGATATTCAGGGTGTTTCGGGTGCACTGTTGATATTTGTTGGGGGATATGTTGGAGCACCGCGATCCGGTAAGTCTCAAGCCGCCCAGGGACGGCCTCTACCGCCCCACTCGCTAGCAGCAGCTGCAGCTTGAGCCAAACTTGCTTAGGTGTTTCGGCTTTTGGGGACTTGTGACTTAGGGTGATTATCCCCTCGCCGGTGCTATCACTGATAACCATGCCATGGCTACTTTATCATTTTGCACTGTGTCGACTCTTCCTGCTGGTAGTATTCTTGCAGAGTCTCGCTGCACGCAGCTTGGTCCATGCTGCAGGATGGTACAAAAGCACCGCAGCATGAGAGTTGGGCCTGCCATTTCCGCAGGTCGACAAGGAATGTTTTTTTCAGGGCTTGGGGTTTCGGATTTAGGCTCTAGGATCTTTGACCAATCGGCCCGTACCAAGCTGCTGCGAGATAACAGAATGCAGTTTTGTTGCATGCCGGTAGAGAGGCCGCATGCAGGAATTCAACGATATTCCCAAGGAGACCACCAACTCTGTGTGTGTGTGTATCTACCTGCCTATCTAGCTAGCCATCACTATCTATCTATCTATGTGTGTGTGTGTATGTGTGTGTGTCTGTGTAGATACGTATGCAGGCATGCATGCAGGCAGGTACGGGCGTAGACATGTACATGCATATGCATGTATGTCCACCCCATATAAAACCTTTTTTTGCTCAAACAAGCTCAACGCCGACAAAGCTGGTCACTTTAAGGGTGAAGGGCTTGAAAACTGATTCAAAAGGCCCAAGTAGCAAAATGGCAGTTTCTTAGCAGAGATTCGTGTCCAACAACTTGAAATACGGACGACGCCGTTACTGGGGCCCTTGAAAGGTGCCGGACCTGAAGCCTCAAGTTTCCGACGGCGGGCCTGGCGGGGCAGGTTCAAGCAGCACCTTAGCATTCATTCATGAAGAAGCCTAACCCCCCAGTTACCTACTATATAGGGTACTAGAGCCCCTAAGGCCCTATATAGTAGGCACCTGGAGGGTTAGGGGAAAGCATGTGCCTTTACAACCTACATGTCCGTCTTACGGCTCGAATAGAGACTACTACGAACATGTATATATATATATATACCCCTGCAACCTACATGGCAGTCGTAAGTTTCGACAACAAGAAACTGAGAGCAGCACCAAAGCTTGCGATAGGAAGGCTCGGCTTGCTCGCCTCGGTGCAAACTCGTCTCTGAGTTGTCGGCGACGCTGTGTCTTGGGTACAAGGGCAGAAACTTCCGGCCATGGAATACTAGTAGTACTCTCTTACAGTCCCTAGTATAAATCTGCTGTCATATACCCCAAAACCGTACTCCAGACATGCATGCGACATGCACAACAAGCACCACTCGCAGCAGAAGTAGAAGCAGCACCGCTAGTAGTCAGTGGCCAGAGTACAAGTAGTAGAAGAAGAGGAAGGCGGCGGAGCAGCAGCCGTCTCTTGTGCAGAAAGCTACTGACCACCTCCTCCTATAACCTCTAGTAACGAAGTAGCTACTACTTCCAGAAGCCTCAAATCATGCAAAGACTTCGTAAGTAAAAACAAAATTGCCGCGGAAACCTGCATCTACCAAACTTTACCTTCTTTACTAGACCCGCTACACAGGTCTTCCAGAATGCTGAAGAAGAGGAAGAGTTTAAATACGGGACCTAAGTTTAAGATTCCCGCCGGAAATGTACTTTCTTTTTGGAGGGGGTAATAGGAGCACAGGATTAATGCGTGTAGTCCCGTTTAGTCGAAGGGTAAGTGTTGCGACCATCTGGTAAGTCCATCGAGGTCCATCAGGCATCCTTTTTGGGCTTAGAGGCGTGGGGTTTAATCGCAGATAGCTGTATAGTAAGGTAAACCATGGTAAGCCGAGACGCTCAGTCCGGCACCATCCAATTGCAGACTCGTCGTCTGCCCACATACGTCCTCGGCATGCCTGGGAAAATGGGCTGTCCATCTGAGCTGTAGATACACGCGAGGGTGTAGGATTCAAGACTTAGGTTCAGGGTTTAGGAACATATGAACTCAGGCAAAAAAATAATCTAGATGTAGGCGGCCCGACAAGAAAAGACGACAGTGTGGGGCTCGAGGCCATTGCAGCAAACCTTCGTTCATCACTAGCCGTCTGCAGGCTTTTATTGACATGTTTCGGAGCTCTGCCATTGCGAGGCTTAGGGTGAAAGATTCCACATGAGAAACTCGAGTCATGAGCAAGGAAGGAAGGAAGGATGGAAGGAAGGAAGGAAGGAAGGAAGGGAGCCATGTATTGATTGGTGTTAAGTGTTAAGCTTTCTCATGCCCTCTTTCGGAAGTACTACAGAACTTGTGACTGTTGGAATCTACTCTCGGGGGTTTTCGAGTATAGATAGAGTTCAGGCATAAGGGTGGCAGGGCCCGGTGTACCGAACAACCTTCGCCAAGCCACTCAGCAGTGTCTGCCTCCTCGTCCTCAGCCTCTTCGCTGGAGAAGAATCCGCCCATGGCCACTCAAAGGCTGGGTTAAGTAAGGTTGCTGGATGGGCCTTGACGGTTTGTGCTACTGATACACATCTCAGCGTAAGAGAAAGCTTAATGACTCAGCTTGGGCGTTGGGACGGGGATTGGAGTTGCTTGGGGCCCATGAGCCTATGGCACTTTCCGGTACCTGCATGTAGAGCCTTCCCTGCTTCTTCTGGGCTTAGGGGTTGCAGGTCATGCGTCTTCATACTTAGACGGAGGTAAGGCATAGCCGGCATAGGCACTATCAGACATGAGATTGGACCGATCAATGCCCTAATGATGCTTCGACCTTCCAAGCCGAGGCCAAGCAATAACCCATGTCATTATCCCATTAGCCATTCGCAAGGCAAAAATACAAAACAAAGAACACAATCAATAATGAAAACCATCACCAACAGACACAGCAGCACGAGCAACAGCAACGGCAACATAACATCAACAGCAGAAGCAACAGAAGCTGCAAACGCAAGAACAACAAACCAACAAACAAATCATAGCGGCAAAAGCAAACAAGCAATATAAAGACGACAACTGGTGCGGCTGTTGCTCCTGTCAACTCTGCGATAACGAGACGGCAAAAAATGGGCCAAGCTGTACTACGGCGATTATGCCTGCCCCAGGTAATACGGCTGCTACGACGAGCGCGGAGGCCACTGCGACAGCAAGACCGACAAGTACCATCGTCATAACTTGCCATGGCCATATCGTCATCGACACCATAACCAGGCATATGATCAGAACGACAGTTCGGATGTTATTCCGTGTTCGTCTCATGCTCATCATCTACATTTTTGTTTGTGTCACCTGTCGCATCTTTTATCCAATACGGCTAGCAGCCCCTCTCAGTTCCATCATCCAAATCATGCCAAGAACAACCAAGGGTAATAGTAACGCGAAAAGAAGGTGACAGTAAGCTTGGGCAGTACAATCTCGAAAGCAGCAGCAGCAGCAGGAGCAATCAACAGCAGGTGCAATGCGGCTTCCGGAGAGGCTTGCGAGGTTTGGCAAGTAAGGCACATGTAGGCAGTCCTTTTTGTCGTGGACCCAGCATGTGTATGGCGCCAAACCACCAGTTGCTAGCTGCTGCACGTCCTGCAGTTGCTGAATTATGACCCTACTTGAACCTGAGATCCGCGCAAAGACTGCCGACCCGACCACTTGTTTTCGGCTCGAGTGCCGGGCGCAAGGCGATTCAAAGGCTCCCGGATCAGGTGCGGATGGGGTGGTCGAGATGCAGGGTCTTTCTGCTTTCCTTGCTGTCCGCGATTGGGAAATGGGCCTTCCGCTGAGTAGATACATACGAAGCCTGACTAAGCACCATCAGTGGCCCAAATCCCAAAGCGAGCCCCGCTGCACAGCGTCCAAGAGAACCAAGGATTCCTCGTGCTGCCCACCGATCTCACAGGAACGGGTGGCCACTTCGTAAGCCTTGGCAAGGGTTGTTACTTCGATTTCTCAATGTAGGGCCTCAATAGATAGAATAAGGTTTCGGGTTATTGCGCTCGAAGGAATGCTAGAATTTTGGGATATACCGTACTCGATAGACTGGAAGAACAAACGAATATTCCGACCCCTACAGTACACCCTCACTCAGCTTGGAGTAGACTTATAGGGCTTCGGTACGAGAGGCTATATCGCCCAGGCTCAAGGGTTGACAGGATCTAGGTACCTGGGGCTAAAACTACCTATAGTCTCCATTGTAATTCCTTTTTTGGTTTAGCCAATTAGATATTAAGGATTTTCTAAGGTATCCTCAAAAAGGATCTACAATGGAGACTATAGGTAACATCCGAAGCCAGTGGAGGATATGATTAGTACCTGCCCTTCAGACCTCGATTCGTTATGAACCAGAAAAGGTCACAGCAAACCCCGCAGCAAATCTTCAAAGTTGAGGCTTTTTCGGACCCAAAGCCCTAAAGCGAAATGGGCTCGAAATGGTTTGAACAACTTGGTTTCTGCCACGGAGCAATGGCGTCTGCCTCGATGCCTGCTTCGACTGTCACGCGACCCCTCATTTGTGCCCTATATTGTGTTTTGGAAGCATGTGGCTCCGTGGTGTCGAAGCGGACGACCCCGGGTGGTATTTGGCTGGCATGCTGCCTGAAGCTGGGAGCAATCAAATCGAGTGAACTCGGACCCGAGGCCCATCTACCTGTAGTCTCCATTGTAGTTCCTTGTTGGGGATACCTCATGAAATCCTTAATATTTTGGTTAAACCAAAAAAAGGGAACTACAATGGGGACTATATGGGTACAGGCCAGCAGAACGCAAAAACCGCGACACGAAGTCCAACCACGCGTCGAGAGCCAGGCCTGACTGACCCATCTCCTGGAAGAGGCACAAAGCTGCCCGCCACCTCTGATGACATCCAGGGGGGGACTCTAGGACCCTATCTATAGTCTCCGTAAACCCTAGAGCTTAGGGGTTAGGGGTTTAGGGGTTTAGAGTTTAGGGGATTCCTGCCTATAGTCTCCATGGTAGTTCCTTTGTTCTGGTTTAACAAAATCATAAAATAAGGATTTGATAAGGTATCCCCCAAAAGGAACTACAAAGGAGACTTCAGGCGAAATCGATTCTGGCGCGGTTATGACTCCAACCTCACTAGGCCCCCCAAGAAGCACATAAGCACAATTAGGATCGGGATATCCCATATAAATCCCCTTATAATGAAGCCCAGTAAGGATATGCTTATGTCCTTTTTTGGGTTCCTACTCATGCTTCAGTCCGGACGTAGGGTTTCTTTCAAGTCCCTAAACTCAAAACCTTCAAAAATACCTGAACCCTAAACCCTATACCCTTATGGTCCCCTTTCAGAACCCTGTAACGGTATCCTTTTAAGGCACTCCTAAACCCCTAAACTCCTAAACCACTCCCAGAAGTACGGAGACGGTGGGGTCCCGGGACCCCAAAGCGGAGAGCAAGAGCTCAACGAAACGGGATGTCGGCGCTCAAACTCGGACAAAACGGGATTTAGGGTTTAGAGTTTAGGGTGAAAGGAAGGGCTTTAGGGTTTAATTAAGGGGGTTGCTTCTGCCCTTTAGGGTGTATGGCCGTATCAATTTCAGCTTGAACCGAGCCTCGGAAACTGACTCCGAACCTCACAAACCCTGCGAAGCCTCTACTTGGAAAGACCAGGAGGAACCAAATCGAGACGCACTTGAACCAACATTATAACATGAAAACATCCGTTTGGATTTGGTTTAGGGTTTAGGGTTTAGGGTTTAAGGTTTAGGGTTTAGGGTTTGGGGCAATGTGAGAGAGAAAACATTCTCACACCCTAGCCCCAAAGGGTCTAAGTATCCACATAGTAGATACTTTGGGCCCCAAAGTACCTACCATAGAAGTACTTAGACCCTTTGGGAGCTTGAAGAAAGACCCCATCACCCCGGAAACGCACTCTGAAGTCCCCGAACCCTAAAGCAACAGCGGCCTCAACAATCCAAACACGCCTTCCTTGGGAGTATATGGGAGTTTCCCCAAAATTAGGGTACCTTATTTTGGGGTCCTTATAATAAGGGTCCTACGATTTAGGGTACTATATTAGGGTCCCCTATTTTCGGAAACTCCCATATTCTACAAAAACACTAGCGACCTCTCAGGAAAAAAAGCACGGAACTAAACTAGGATACTGAGGCCCCCTATACTAGAAGTTCGCCCCAGCGGCTCACTGCAGTGGCACGCTGCGGTAAGAGCCGCACAGCAAACGATGAGGTTGGGCGGCACTCCTCTGTCGCCCAGATATGGACGTCCTACTCAGCCCTTATACACCTTACCTGTAGTCTCCATTGTAGTTCCTTTTTGGGGATACCTTATAAACTCCTTAGAATACAATTGGTTGAACCAAAAAAGGGAACTACAAAGGAGACCATAGGCAAACTCTGAGACACCGTTCTCAACCCTATAGAGTCCCCTGCTTTTACACAGGCTTGATTGGAGCTCGCCCGGGCGAGCTTCACGTTTAATTGAGGGCTTTGGAGGTTCGTGTTGCGCAGGTTATCTTATGTGCACCGAAGGTCTT